TCCATCAATATTAAATTTAGATCATTGTTTATATCATATGGTCTTTTAAATTTATTTATAGAGCCAACGCGTATTTCTCAATCTAGTGCAACATGTATAGATAACATTTTTACAAATGTGAAGCCGTTGCATAAATGTATAATTCAAAAATTAAGTTCTGATCACTGTGGACAAGTAGTTTCGTTACCTTATGTTCACAAAAAGCAAAGTTGTGTCTGTTCCAGTAAATGCACGTCGCTTGGAGAAATTTAGAAGTAACATAGTGAAAAAACTTTCATCACTTTCGTACCAAAATGATCCTAATTTTTTGTATGGAACATTATTTAAGCTTATTTGCAATGAATTTAATAATACTTTTACTTCTAAAACATTCTCCTTGAACAGTCGGAAGTCATTCAATGAATGGGCGACAGTAGGAGTCCATAAGAGCAGGCATAGGTTATATGATCTTTACCATGAAAGGTCATATAATCATAGCGTCGAATTTAGGGAATATGTAAAAAAATATTCAAAAATATTTAAAAGAGTGTGCTCCATAGCCAAGTCTTTGCATTTGAGCAACAAAATTAAGACGGCTTCCAATAAAATTAAAATGACATGGAGTATAATTAATAGCGAAACTGGTAAGATCAACTCTCGCAATTCAAATTACCAGTTAAGTGTTAACAACAAATTAATTGTATCAGATCAGGACGTAGCAATGGTTTTTGAGAAATATTTTACTGATATTCCGATCTTGACCACTAAGTCACTGAATTCTTCTCCTGCCGTCGCCGAATCATTACTTAAACAAAATGTAAATGTGTGTACAAAGAATTTTACATTTCATAAAGTGTCATCAAAAGATATTGTAAAATATTTTAAAACTATTGATGTTAAGAAAACTGCGGATCTGTAGGGGATTTCCGTTAAAGTTATTGCGTCTATAATAGATACAATCGCGCCTCATTTAGCTATTATTTTTAATACTAGTATCGAATCTGGTGTGTTTCCTGATTTAATGAAGCATAGTAAAGTAATACCTTTATTTAAATCTGGTAGTACATTAGACCCCGCCAATTTTAGACCTATTTCTGTACTACCAACACTTAGTAAGATTTTTGAAAAAATTGTTCTTGTTCAAATGTTAATTTTTTTTAATATAAATAATTTACTTCATAAAAATCAATTTGGTTTCACAAGGGGTCGCCTGACAACTGATGCCGGTGTTGAGCTGATTAAATATATCTTTAATGCATGGGAGAATTCACAGGATGCTTTAGGTATATTTTGTGACCTATCCAAGGCCTTCGATTGTGTTCACCATGAAACATTAATCAGGAAACTTCAACACTACGGTGCAAGAAGTGATGCCCTTAAATTAATTATTTCATATTTAAGTAAGAGAACGCAAAAAGTTGTCATTAACAATATGAGCTCTTCCGGATCGATGGTACAAATGGGCGTGCCTCAAGGCTCAATTCTCGGCCCCTTTCTGTTTCTTGTATACATTAATGACTTACCTTACATAGTAGGGGATAACCATGATGTAGTATTATTTGCAGATGACACTTCTTTAATTTTCAAATTAAGTCGACAGTTGCTAAAATATGACGAAGTAAATAATGCTATCTCTAAATTAGTAAATTGGTTCGATGTTAATAATTTGCATTTAAATGGCACTAAAACAAAATGTATGAAATTCGTGACTCCAAATGTCAAACAATTAAATACTAATGTAATTTTAAATGGGGAGAAACTGAGTCTTGTAGATACCACCATTTTTCTTGGAATCACACTAGACGCGAAGCTTCAATGGAGCCCCCATATATCAAAACTAGCAAGCAGACTTAGTTCTGCAGCATATGCTGTAGAAAAGATTAGAAGTTTAACCAGTGTTGAAACAGCTAGACTAGTTTTCTTCAGCTACTTCCATAGCATAATGTCGTATGGTATTTTGCTATGGGGACACGCAGCTGACACTGAAATTATATTTGTTTTGCAGAAGAGGGCCATAAGAGCAATTTATGATTTAAAGCCTAAAGAGACGCTGCGACAAAAATTTAAGGAAATTAATATATTAACTTTGGCCTCTCAATACATTTATGAAAATGTAATGTACGTACACAAAAATAAAAGTAGTTTTACAAAAATAAGTGATATTCATTCTGTAAATACTAGGAACAGACACAAGCTAGTAGTACCAGTTACTCGACTCCATCGAGTCAGTAATTCATTCTTTGGGCGATGTATACGCTTTTACAACAAAATTCCAGAAAATATACAAAGTTTGACCTGTTCAAAGTTCAAAAACTTTATTAAACTAAGTTTGTATAAAAAGGGTTATTATAATATTAAGGAATTTATGGATGATAATAACCCCTGGAAATGAGGTGATCGCTACCAAGCTATTTCTAATTTGTTGTGTTGTTAATTTGTGTAACATCATGATTGTAAGCTGTTATTTAAAAAAAAAGTCCCGCTGGGTTTCTTGCTGGTTCTTCCCAGGACAGAGGTTTTTTCCGAACCAGTGGTAATCAAACAAAAGAGTGACTTTCAATAAGTATTATTTATAATCTATATTGAATAAAAAAGTTTCTCTTTCTGTTTCTGTTTCTGTTTCTGTTTCTGTTCCCGCACTGAACAAGTGTTTTTATGCTGTAAAATAAATATTCTGCGTCTGTATGCTTTTTTTCAACGTTATTTTTTAAAAAGGGTAAAAATATTGGGTTTTTAACACTAATAGGATTAAATTGCTTTTAAGTGTAAGAATTACTATGAACAAATCGCTAGGATTCTTCACAGAGCTACCTATGTATGAACGAGTACATACTGCTCGCAGAGATCGTTTACCAATAGTCGCTTACAAAATGAGTGCTCATTATACCTAATGTTTGTAGATAAATCTATAAAAATATTTATAACCAGGTAATTACAAAAAACGGGTTTAGTTATTATATAGAGTGTGCGTAATATGTAAAACTCGTTACCAAATGGAAAGTGGGATAACATTCCACAAGTAAGTAAATTTGCAGCTAATATTATGGAAGTTAAAACTATTCGATAATATAGGTACTTAAAAATTTGTTACTAATCTTAATATCGTTATTACTAACATGTTTCGCCTTATATTACTGAGTTTTGATAAACAATAAAATTCAATAGGCCTCGTATCGAGTTCCTTGTTTATAATAATTATCGATGTTCTTTTCTACCAATATCTGTTCATAACCAAAGTCTCCGATAACATATTATAATTATCAAATGTTTATTAATTGACAGATTTCCAACTGAATCTAGACCAAAATTATGGCTAAAAAGGACAAGAATTGTGAATTGGCGTCCGAAACAAAATTATTATCTTTGTTCTAAGCACTTCACACACGACTGTTGGAAAACTGTTGACAAAAATTTTAAAAAGTGCAGTATACTCACAATATTTTTTGGTAGTACCAGTACCAGTAAGTATAAAATTATTACATTATTATTTCGAATGTTTTTTTTATTTCTTCTCTCGCTATTTTCCCCCAGACTCACGAGCCGTAGCCAAGTGTAAAAAGGCGCCTGATGATGACTTTGTGTTTACAAGACGTAAGTTTGTTAAACCTGTATAATTATTATGATCAGTTTATTGTATCAAGGGAATAAATTTATATTAGAACTGCAAAATTATTACTGTCCTCGTGAGTTTGCGTGAGCTTAGATGAGAAATAACACCTCCCTGAACGGGTTTCCGCCTTGTCGTGGGGGGGGGGAGTAGTAGCCGTGGCTTGGTAACTCATGGTAAACGTAGGGCGACTCACATGGCTGGCCTGAAGTGAGAAGCTGTGCCTTGCCTTGCCCTTGGATGTGTGTTAGTGATCTGCGGCTAGAGGAGAGTACACTCTCTTTATCACTGCAGCCGAGGTGGAGTCGCAAGAGAATACGATTGTTTTATGGTAATGCGCCACTCGACTATCCTCCGTGACTTTGGCTTGGTGCTTCAGAGTGCTCCGTTTTTCTTGGCTTCATGTCTCTGGAAGGGGGGGAGGGAAGTTTTTAGCTAAGGAGAGGTTCCCGCTGGTGGGGCCATGGATGTGCTTGGAAGCGTTTCCGTGGCCCTGTCAATGTGTGGTGAAGGTGGAACATCATGGGGTTTTAGTAGGTGCAAGTCAGACATAATCCGTTCTTGCCCCCGCAATGCAGGTATGCGTAGGAATTTTCTCATTTGCAACCCGGAACAAAATCCGTTCTGTAGTTACGAATAAAAACGTAGGTGGACCAACGCAACGTCGATTCTTGTTTTATATTAGGTATAAAGCTTGCGTCTAAGGCCTAGATTGATACATTGATACATTTATTTATTATATGGCATTATATTAATATGATGCATAAATAGAACGGATTTTACGGGTAGGCCCCAGGCCAGGTATAGAATTCTTATCGATATAGTTTTTTATATTGTCTTCTCTCTATTATTAGTTCCGTGGACGTTCACTTATGCTGTCAGCGCCAAAATGGCGAAAATCAAATCGCCTTATTATATCACGGTGTATAGCCAGTCCATATATAGAGGTCTGTGGTTTCGAACTATCAGCATTAGGAAATATTGCGTTTGTATTTGTGCACGAAATCTTACACCATAAAAACCTGTCCTACGTAGATGGCTAGTCCAAAAATGTACTCGCGTTAAATATCATATTACAATTAAAGTTGAAATCACTTACCTCTCATCATCTTATTATATTGCTACGAAAAGCCTTTTCTTGTTATAATTTTTTCCGCTTCTTACATTATTTAATTGGAAGTTTTATAATGCATATTTAATGTTTTAATAATTCTAGAAATGAGCAACGGCTCGTATATCGAAATTGAAAGCAATCTCAATAAACAAAATATACATATATGCCGTAGGATAATTAGATAAACCGAATTTTCCGCAAAAATCTAGGGATATTGCATAAACACGGATAATTAGACAATGGCTATGACATTTGAACGGACGTGTTAGTTGCGCTTGTGTATAATTATTTACTTTAAAAATGTCTGTAGATTATAGGGCTTGTGGTGTCCAAGTGCCTGATGGTTTTTACATGAAGTGTTCCAAAAAACAGTGCGAAAACGTCTATGATTTAAAGTGCCTAGGAGTGACACAAAATGAATTCAGTTCCTTCTCGGATAAAGACACGAAGCAATGGGTCTGTCCGGAGTGCGTTTGTTCTAAACCTAAACCTAAACGCTATGATCCGGATACACCTATTAGGCGCATCCCGGAGCTAAAAACATTCACACCCAGTGCCAATGTCAACACTCAACGGGGAAGCCGCAAGAAATTGATGGATGAATAAAGTATCGAGTGTGATAATAATAATAGTGATGATAATTTTCTGTCTGAGTTTAGACAGTATAAATATGAAGTATTAAGCCGCTTAGACTTGCAAACTAACATTATGAAACATCTTCAAGAAATATTTTTTTCTACAAAAACGAAGGTATTTCAGGATAAGTTTGCCCAAACGGATCTGTTGTCAACTCAAAATCAACTGTTTGAAAGTATTGATAGCATACCGGAAAGTTTGAATACAGGCGTCGAAATGTCTGGGGTGCGAAGTCAGAAGTCCTCCACGTGTGCCTGGTAGTTGCTGGTCCCTCTCGATACCTCTGGAGGGAAGAGCAGATACTGGGCCGGTGCACCCTGGGCGCGGCAGTAATCTTCCTCGAGAAATGAGAAGAAATTCTTACTCCTTGGGGAATGGTACTGCCGCGGCTAATTATTCTGACATGGGGGGGGTCCGTCCCGGACCAACGGTGTGTTCCACTGCGTGACCCTCTGATCAGCAGAGGGCATAGCAGAGGAGTGAGGGCGGGCTCGGTGTGCACTTACCCTGCCTCCGGGCAGACAGTGAAGGATTCATCCTTTGCTGTCACCGCCGGTCTCGTAATCCCAGTATCGAAGTGTCGTGGATCACGTCTCGCGGCTTTGATAGGGACCGAGGGTCTTGGCTTAACCGCCCGGACCGCGAGGGAGAAAACCTCTATAAAAAGTTACCCCGAATCTCAAGCGGCGACGCACCGCGAGGGGATGGATGGCTGACGGGGTTCTATGAACAAATCAGTCGTGAGTGCGCTCCTCGCCAGGGTACCTGCAGACCCCCTGGCGAGTAATAAATCCTCTAAATCTGCTTACCTTGGTAAGGGGTCTCTGCCAAGGTGGACTTTTAATTCCCCCATACTCCTGGGTACAAAAATGAAAAAAAAAGACAAACAAAAAACAAAAACCGCCGGCAACGGCAACGTAGAGGAGAGGAGGAACGATGCGGGGACAGAGTCCGACGCCGCATCAAACAGCGAGGGAGGCTCAGAGAGCTCCCGACAAGTGGAGCCTGGGACCGCGGAGACCAGCAAGTTCTTCCGCAAGCGGTCCAGGCGGGATGGCGACCAGGGGTCGGCATCCGGTGAAGAGGAGGTTTCGGCCCGGAAAATCCCCACCAACAGGCGGGGCGGGCTGAGAGGCAAGGGGAGGGAGCTCTCTACAAATCAGAGGGCCGAACGAGAGGCAAAGCTTGCCGAGGAGGGGCGCCACCCGGACGATACGGCTCGGGAATCAGGCGAAGAAACAGATGCGACTGGCGGCTCCGAGGTGGAGCGTAAGGCCAGATTCGTAAAGGAGGTGGAGGCCGCGATCAAGGTCGTGGCCAACAAGCAAAAGTCCTCCTCGAAATTCAAGGCCATTCCCGCGGCCTCCGCCTCCATCATGGCGGCTGCGGAGGCCAACTTTGCTGGAGCTGGGCCTAATGCGGACAAGGTGACAAGGTGGCTGCGGGCGGACGTGGCCCGCCTGACGTCCGCCATGGAGACTCTCCAGAAGGAGAATGAGAAGCTCCGCGCAGACCTGGCCAGTCTACATGAGCCTGCCTCTCGCGCGACGCCCCAGACGCAGCGCCCAAGCCAGCCCGTGCCGGTGGAAAACCAGGTTCTGAACCTGGTCCGGCAGGAGCTGGCTGCCTTCCAGCACCGGTTCTCCGTGCTGGAGGGCATCGTCCTGCACCCCCCCCCCCCCTAGGGGCAAACAAGACGGCGGCGAGGCCGGCAACGGCTTCTTACGCGACGGTCACGGCTGCCGCATCCAGGCCGGGGCCGTCCAGCCAGCCCTCGGGTCGGGCTGCAGTTGCCCCTCCCTCTCCTCAAAAGCCGGCTCCGGCAAAACCGATACCGGCTGAACCGGCTCCGGCAAAACCGATACCGGCTGAACCGGCTCCGGCTAAGCCGGCGACGGGAAAAAGAGGCAAGGCGAAGGCGAAAAAGGGCAAGGCGGCAGCACAGGTGATGGCTGCGCCAGCCCCAGTGCCTGCGGCGAATGGGCCAGCGCCAGCGGCAAGCCAGCTGCCGCTGCCGCCACCGCCCCCCCAGCTCCCTACACCTCCCGCGGCAGAAGCCGGTTGGCAGGTGGTCGGGGACAAACAGAAGGGGAAGAAGGCAGCCAAAAAGACCAAAGAGCAGGAGCGGCAGCGCCAGTTCAGGGCGCGCAAGATCGCGGCTAGGCTCCGCGCCCCGAAGACCGCAGCTGTAGTGATTACACTACAGCCGGACGCGGAAAAGAAGGGCGTTACCTACCGCGATCTGCTCGCGAAGGCGAAAGAGGCGGTGGATCTCGGGGAGCTCGGGATCACTGGGGGCCTCCGGCTCAAAGTCACCCAGACGGGGGCCCGTATGCTGGAGATCCCCGGGGAATCTAGTGGCGCGACTGCGGACGCTCTGGCTGCGAAGCTCAGAGCATCCCTGAACGCGGACGAGGCCCGAGTGTCCAGGCCCGTCAGATGCGCAGACCTGCGCATCATGGGTCTGGACGACTCGGTATCGGAGGAGGAGTTGGTGGCCGCCGTCGCCATGTCCGGGGGGTGCACTACTGACCAGGTCAGGTCAGGCGCCATACGCCCGGACCAACAGGGTATGCATGCCGCCACGGTGTGCTGCCCTGTTACGGCGGCCAAAACCATAGTGGAGAGCCGAAGGCTTCTGGTGGGCTGGGTTGAGACCCAGTTGAGCGCAGGTTAAGCTGCTGGAGCCCAGACCTCTGAGGTGCTACCGCTGTCTGGTGGGGCATCACGTATCAGTGAAATGCGCCTCGGAGGTTGACCGCAGTGGCCTCTGCTTCCGCTGCTGTCAGCCCGGACACATATCGGTGACCTGCTGCGCCACGCCACACTGTGATGCATGTGCGGCGACCGGCAAGCCAGCCGATCACTGGGCCGGAAGCAGGGCCTGCGTTTCACCCGCCAAGGCCAAGGCCGCGGGTAGGGGAGGGCCCTCCGCCGCCACCGCCTCTATGGCCACCGCCGCAGCTGCAACTGCCGCCGCCGCCGCTGTCACTGTCGCCGCCGCCGCCGCCGCCGCGACACCGACGCCTGCAGAGGGGCGCCCCGTGGAGGAAGCTGAAATGGAATGCCTATAACAGCCCCATTAAGCTTCCTTCAGGCGAATATCAACCACTGCGCCTGCGCTCAGGATCTGTTGCTCCAGAGCATGGCGCAGTGGTCGATTAACATCGCTGTGGTCGCTGAGCCGTATTTTGTCTGGCCTAGGAAGGACTGGGTGGCGGACCTTAACGGCTCAGTGGCCATCATCTCTTCGGCCGCCGCCGATACCCCGACCCTTGAAGGTGTCAGGAGGGGTCAGGGGTACGTAGCAGCACGGTTAGGGGAGTTCGTCGTTGTGGGGGTGTCAATGCCAAGAACTTGGCTTGGGGTTCTCGTCGTACAGATGTGCGGGGTAGGATGGTGGAAGACTGGGCGGCAAAGGTCAATGTACTCGCGAACGCAAATTCGCGCGGCCCGCAACTAGCGGGCCATACCACTACATACGCTAATGAAAAAATACTTAAATGAAATGTAACCAAGGTTGGAGTCATGCGTTTTTATTCATCGTGTAGGTATGTTTATTATTCTCATGTATTCAGTTATGTACCTATTCAGATTAGTTCAGTACTAAGTTATTTAAAAAAAATAGTTATGAAACAGCTTACCGCTCTAAATCCTCCGTGGTCTTATGAGATGCAGCTCAAATTGTGCTCCATTCATTTCAAGGTAGATTTGGGTGCAGGCGGGGCATCATCGTGTGGTCTTCGACACAGTCCGTACATAGTTTCTCGAAAGCATCCACGATCCTTTGGCGCATTTTGTCAGCACTATCACACTCACGATTAAAAACCCTTTCTTTCACATACCAAAAAGAAGTCTAACGGGGTCAGATCTGGTGAGCGAGGTGGCCAAGCGTGTGGTCCTAGTCTGGCGATCCAGCGATCATCAAATAGCTCATTGAGGCGCTCACGGACGAACCTCACGACATGGTATCGCTGTCTGTTCAGTCGCTGTGGCAGATTTATTAAATCAGTATAAAACGTAAACAACACTGGTCCCAGTATGCGATCCTTAAATAAACCTGCCCATACGTTAACCGACCATCGGGTTTGGTGCCCGGTTTGTCGAACAGCGTGCGGGTTAACCTCTGAATACACGTGTGTATTTCTTCGGTTCCACAGGCCGTTTCTGGTAAATGTCGACTCATCCGTCCAGATAATGTGCTCAATGGAACCAGGCACACGCACACGACGTCTTAACAATTTATTTGGCGATACTTCGTGTACCTGGGTTCGGATAACATGTTGCTGTATTCACAATCACTATAAAAGTACGCGTTAAGCATTATTAAAACAAAAAACGTAACAACAGGAATAATACCAACACGTAATCACAAATAATAACAATACGATTGAGCTGTCGCTCGCGCACGCGTGTACAAAATCAACACGGAACTGTTTCAAAAACTACAATTAATAACGAACCCCAACAAAACTGAAACCTACTGCTAGGACAGTTATTATACTCTTTGTCTACTGCGTCACAGCGTGAGGCGACACGAGCCGGCCGGGTTACATTCTGCCATCGTCGGGTTACATAAAGAAGGACGCAACTAACAAAAACGTAAAATGGAAATAAAAAATAAATTGATGAATTTTTCTTTCAGACCCTGTGTCTAAAGTATATTAAAAGTTATCTATATGAAAATTGAAATATATACGTAGAGACATGAAGATTTTAAGGACGAACAAATTTTTTGATAATTTGTTTATTTATTTATATAAAACGAATTTTCCTTTTCATTTTAGCTTAAAAAATACACCTGGCATCACAAAAACATCGAAGGAAAGACGCATATAACTATTTGCGTCTTTCCAACCTAATAAATTAAAAAAAAACTGCCATTCATTTAACAATTTTACATATTTTGGAAAGGTCATTTGAAGTTGAAAGGACGCTAATAGTAATTTACTACTTTTTTTTTTAAATAA